GCGACAAATTTCGCTTACCAGTAAATCCTCTGCGTAACAACACCTGGAAAGCCTCGAAACGTGCTTGTTTTGCCGCATCCGTTTTGAAGGGCTTCAACAACACGTCTGTTTTCAATGACTGAGCCAAACTGGAAGTGGGTATGCTGGTACTAGTTTCAGATGCAGTCCCCTCATTTTTCACAGTCTCTTCATTTACTTTCGGCACGGGTAGACCAGCAGCAGCAGCTTTCATACGCAATTGCTCTATTGGACTGACCATTTCCAGAACGGAGTCTAATGAAATTATCAATCAGCGGGGAGGGATAAAGATCAATTAGCTGATTACTTTTCTTCGTCATCCTTAGAAAACATTAAGCACAACAAATGGCGCACAACTGTGTAACCAAGAGAGGGAGCAAAATAGTGGTCGCTGCGATAAAAAAAAACAAATTCAGCAGGGAATTGATCAGCATAATTTTTTCTTATGTCATGCCACAGAATACGGTCGTTTATGTCCCATTACAGTACTTAAACAGTATTCATTCGAATCTGTGTCGTGAATTAAGATGATAAGTCGTGGCCACTTCACCGATTCGGTGAGTTTACCGGTGCTCCACAAACCCTCCTTGCTCCAAAAGCCGCGTTTTTTTATTACACACTTTCGTGGGATGAACAGCAGATGGGATAAATCCCATAGTCACGAGGACCTGCTGTTCAGCGATGCAAACCGGTAACCCAAGCCCCGGGACTTGGAGTGCTGAACAATATAAGGCCTCAATAGGTTAGGCGTGGTATTAAACCGGACGACAGCAAAGCTGCCTAGCACCAAAGCCGGGTGGCGGGTCTCGAACCTCGGAACCATAGGGTCAAAAGCACGCCTGCGACAGCGACTAAACCATTGAGCCACCAACAAACTATCTACACAACCGTGGAGCCCTAGAAAATAACAACTACATGCATTCGACGAAATCTCACTTCAGTTCCACAGATTTTTTATTCCCGAATGATGACTGAAATGCCACTTATGTCGTCCAATTGGCCCAATAACGCTTTCTCTTGAAAATAAATCATTTTAGAGCAATCTCAGCTTCTGTGGCACAATTCCAACGGGAAAATGAACGACTCGAAACTACACGCTGGTAAACTACCTCGTTTTTCAAGTCACTGTATGAGAGGAAATCAGTATCAACGGTGAGAACTCTCTAGAGAGGATGGTGAAAAACCTCCCATGAACGCTAATTTATTCTTTGATAATGAAGGAAAGCGGCGAGCCAAAGGCACTCCAGTCTACTGGTGGAGACCTATCGTTAATGTCAGCGGGTTGAACTGTCAAAAATTTACCCGATAATCGAACGTTAAGAGAACGGGATTTTCATAGGGTGAAATAACACATGAAGCATTATGAAGACGACCATTGTTACGAGTTGGCTACCCGAAAGAAAAAACCACTAGTCAAGGTGGGTTCGGTTCTACTCTGTGCACGAAACCCGCTAAAATGATAGGAAAGATTAACCCTATTCCAAATACGGAAGTCGAAACGAGAACCTGGCTTTACTTTTTACATCGCAGTCAGATTTAAGTTGTCTCTAGGTGGACTAGCACTAAAACTGACAAGGTTATTAAAAAGTAATACACTTGTAAAGATGGGCTTTTATACGATGTCTGAACAAGGTAAGGGGATTGGTTGGATGGGGTGAGTGGAGGGGAGGACGATTAGATTTTTACTCAGCACTTAACTCTTGCTCGCTGGTTCCAAGATGCCTGCACACGGGAGCGGTCCCATCCCACGAATCTCAACAGGAGGGCCAAGTCATTTGAAGATAACCAGAATTCGACCCCTAACAAAGTGTAGCATCCAGCAGCCCAAATCGCCAGTTTCACACAGGAACCAGGTTAGGTAGAGCCCGGTAACTTACAACTTGATACTTCGAAGAATGAACCATATAAGACCCTGAGATAATGTGTGGTGTTGGACCGGGAAACAGCAAAGTTGCCTGCTCAACTCTTTTGTGGGTGTATCACTTAGATGAAAAATACTCCTCGATCAGGAACAGAATTAATGCATAAAGAAAACCTTTTAAGAAATGGATATGATGGAATCCTACTTTTAAAGCATTGTTATTATGAAAAGGATTCACCTGTTGAGGGGTCGCTGAGAATCTGTGCACGAGATAGGGCATCCAGTCTCCCACGATAGGTCCCACATGCTATCGATTCAGCTCCTGATAAACTTCCTCGACTCGACGCATCCGATGGACCTGATTGAAGCGACGGATCACGAACACACTGGGGATTGAACACGGGCATATAACCTGGTGGTAATCGGATAGTGGGTGGAACACCCATCAATCGAGCTCGCTCGTCCGAATCCGAAGAGGGTGTGAAACCATGAAGCAAACCGGTTACTGATACACGGCCTGTAGAACCTTTACCTGTAAACAATGGTTCGAAAGAAAACAAGAGAAGGGTATTAAAGATGTTTTGTAAGAAAAACAACTACAAACATTTAAAACAACTACACTCATTTTCTGAAGAGAAAGAGAACAATGCGATGAATCGATGAATCTCACAACAGATAAATGGGATGTTTTCCGATATCAATCAGATGCTAAACAGTGATGTACGGCTTCGGTATTCAGTGATATTGTGAAACAGGCTGCAAATACTGTTTTTCATTCCGGGGACGAGACTGCACCTTGGCGTGATGGGGTGGCCTGCGTGCCTCCATGACCCTGCGAGCTATACAGGGTGGCCTTTCACAGCCGTAGATCCAATCATGCCTGAAAGGTCAAGGGGTAGAGGCCAGACAAAGCTCAGTCTCACAAAGCCAACTGTTTGGGCACCTCCTGGCTTTCTCCTATCCACATCCCCTGGAGAGGTCACTCCAGCAAATAAGGTATAGGATTTTTAAAGCCAAAATCCCCTTTTCACTTAGCCGCGTTCAATGTCCGCACACTCTATCAGATCGGTCAGCAAACTGCCTTAGTTAGAACCCTTGAATGTAGAAGTATGTTGTGTCTCCGAAACACGCATACAAGACCCTACTTTCATTATCTCCCTGCGTTCCCTGATCCAACCTCAACCTCACGCTTCACCCTTCGTGTGTCAGGTAATTCGGCATTCGAAGCTCGCGATGTTGCTGGTGTTAGGATTGCGCTAAGTGCTAAGGCGGAGCGCTCGCTTCTTGACTGGATTCCAGTCAGTAGCCA